GAGATCTCTTTCTCAGGTTTCAGATTCCTCACAATGTAAAAGGAGGACATGGGAGTAAATTATCTTGCAACACCTTCCTTGCATTAACATTCTCTTAAAGACTCTGCAGCTCTGGGAGTGCCCTCTGACTATGACTTTGTAAGCATTGTTCACTGAACAGCTCAGCCTAGAAACGACAAATTTAGGAATATACTTTTAAAAACATGATTGGGTGCTCTTCCAATGAATTACATCATTAACTCAGTAGCATGTCCCTGCCCAAGTGAGATACCAAAGAACATGTATTAGTTACCTACTGCTACATAACACATTATCACACATTTATCAGCTTAAAACAACACACATCTAGTATCTCACAGTTTCTGTGGATCTGGAACCTGGGAGTGACCTGGGCCTCTGCCTCAGAGTCTGTTATATGGGTACAATCAAGGCGTTGGACAGGGCTGGGGTCTTATCTGAAGGTTTGACTGGGGAAGTATTCACTTTCAAGCTCACGTGATTGTTAGAAGAATGTCAGTTTCTCAAGGGCTGTTAGGCTGAGGGCCTCAGTTTCTAGCTGGCTGTTGGCCAGAGGCTACCCTCATGTCCTTATTATGTGGCCTTCCCCGATATGGCAACTTGCTTCACCAAATGTGCTGAGGGAGAGAGTCTGCTGGCAGCGGGGAAGCCACAGTCTTATGTACCCCGGTGATGGAAGTGACATCCCATTACTTCTATTGGTTGGAAGCAAGTCACGAGGCCAGCCCACACTCAAAGGGAGGGTCTTACACAGCATAAATACCAGGAGGCGGGGGTCATTGGGGACCATCTTAGAGTCTGCCTGTCACAAAGACTCTTTATTTTTTTATGGAAAAAGAGGTTTAAATACAGAGTTCTCCTAATATATTTAAAGGTTAGTTTATTTACCGAAAATAAAAAGTGACAACTAAATGCAATGTGGAATCCTGACTGACGATCTTGGGTCCTTACCTTAGTTAAAGAAACTGTACCAAAGTTAATTTCCTGTTTCTGATAATTATACTGTAATTATGTAAAGTGTTAGCCTTGGGGGAGCCTGGGTAAGGATATATGGAAACTTTCTATATGGAAACTTTCAGTACTATTTTTATAACTTTTCTGTAAGTCAAAGAGTAGTTCAAGGTAAAAAGTTAGAAAAAGTGATTTCTAAAACTTAAAAATCCATACTTGTGTAAGACCATTTTGTAGCTGCATTTTATTCAACAATTTTAACATTATGTCTATATCAGAACTTTTTCTTTGCAGATAAAAATCTGTAAAGGTTTTGGGGGATGAGGACATGTTTCAAAGGGCACAATAAACAAAAAACTGTAATTTTTTTGAGTAAATGAATTCAAAGAATTTTGGTAGATAAATTTGCTAAAAATTGTATAGGTAAAATTCTCTCTTTTTTTTTGTAGGTAAATAATTTTACAGCATCCTTCTTAGTGGAAATACAAAAAAAAAAAGCAAAACACCCCTCATTATTACTACATAATAGAATGATTTATATATTTGTTATGTACTTGTTTTCTGCTTAAACTTTAGTTGATATGTGTTAGGGACATTTGCACAATACCAAATGCGTTTCACACATCAATGTAAAATAATTGCCATTTCTAAAATAGTATTTTGATAGTCAGATCTGACTCCGCCTCTGTGCTGAGCACTCTTTTCAGATGTCAGTTGGCTTGTTGCTTGGATATAGACACTTATATTCCAAAATAGTGTGGTCTATCTCGACACACTATTCCATGTGATGAAAAGCAAAATACTTCAACCCCTTGAAGGCAGTGGAATTTCATGCAAAGCGAGAACAAATGGTTCCTCATTTTGTTCACTATTTGAAAGGGCTGCTAGTTATTAATACACTATCACTATTTCAACATCCTGGTTCAGCAATTTAAAGCTTATGGGTCTTGGTTGGTTACACCTCTTAAGAGAGCTACTTGGAAACACGCTAGACATTTTTCTTCGGCCTTATTTTTAGAATGGAAGGCCTAATGGTATTTTAATGTCTCTATATATTCCCTGAACCAATCTCAAGAAAAAAATGTCTATTACCTTTTGAAATTTGGCAAAGCTGGTGGGATTATCAGTGCGCCTCTGAGAAACTTTGTGTTAAAGGATTCATTTTGATTTACAGAATGTTAGTAGTAAAAGGACCATGAAAATTGGCTTTTCCAAACCCCTCACTTTTCCAATGAGGAAACTGAGTCTTAGTGTCAGTGAACTGTTGGCCCAAGATGAGAGAGTGCAGAGCAGCCATGTAAGAAGCTTTAGGGATGGTGGGCTCACCCTTTCCTGCAGAAAATAATGGTGGTAAGAGTGAATGAGAATAAGTCAGCTTTTGAATTAAAGACTCAGCTTTAGAACATGAAAACAGCCTGCTGGGCCCCTGCATGAACCTTCATTGCTCTTACTATGGATGATTCTGAGAAAATATGGAGTGATCCAAAAATATGTGGGTTCAGAAGTGAGAAAAGATTCAGGGACCACTTGAGAGAGTTGGGCCTCGAGTATTAGCTTTGTGAGGTGATCTCCCTCACCTCACAGTGTTGGGTGAATTTGCCCCTGTAAATGGCACTTGAAATTCCATCAATTAAAGATTCCTTTGCTTCAGCAAATCTTCTAATGATGAAAAGAACTTTGGGAAGGTTAAGTGTGCATCTCTTGTTATGAATTGCTCTGTGTTATTTTAATTTCTTTTCTTCTTTGAAAGCCTAATTGCAGTCTGCTCACTTGGGGAAGGTAGTTTTGATGGTAGGCAAGGAAGAAAATGTTTAAGAGCAAGTTATGCTGTGGTGGAGGTGGATGTCTAGGTGGGGTGCTGGAGTGCACATGGTCAGAAACTGGGACCCAAGTCCAGGACTAGAAGGCAAAGGAAGAATGCCCACGCCCAGCTTAGCTTGTTGTGTAGCGTTCCTGTGGGCTGTCTCACATCTGGAAAGGAAGGAGAAATGACTTTACCCTTCTCTTGTGTTCCTTTGACAAATACCAATTCATTGTAGAGTGAAGGCAGAAATCAGCCACTGTGTACTTGGTTGGTCCACTCAGAAAATACAGATCAAATTTTGCACTAACTTTTGAGTTGCAATTTTGGAACATACATTCTGGAAGTAAGGACTGGCATGTAATAGCGTAGTTTATAGAGTGGGTCTTTGGGTTTGAATTATAGCTCTGACACTCACTACCTCAGCGACTTTGGACAAGTCTCTTGTTTTTCCTGCACTTCAGTTGCCTTTTTGGGTATAGAGATGATGGTAATAGTACCTGTTACTTACGGCTGCAGTGAAAACAAATGAATTAATACATGGGAAGCACTCAGAACAGAGCCTAGCAAAGAGTCAGCAATTGCATAAGAATTCTAAGTTCTCCACCATTTGCAACCATGTACCCAAGTTTCATTTGAAAAAATATAGTCTCTAACTTCTCTGGAATAAGATAAAAATGTTATTTAAGTGATACTTTCTTAGTCTTATAAGTATCTCATATATTTTCTGAATGGCAGGCAGGTGTCTTCTATATATCAAGCTACTTGCCTTGACCCAGTTCATATTTTATGTCCTAAACCTAATCTTTCAAACACAAAATCTCTCCTTCCACATCTTCACTAACAAATTTAATTGCATATTAATATAGGGAGATAATTATGTGACTATCAGGACTCTAAAAGATATTCAATTTTAGGGCAAATTTCTGAGAGCAAGGTCAAAAGCACTCGTATTTATTTGAATGTAATTGTTGAGTGCTCCTTTTCCACATTTTTATATATAACAAGATCTCTGTCCCAAGATTCTTTCATAAGACTCTACCAGGTCTATTTTAACTCAGTGACCGGCATATCCCCATTATGTTTCTGTAATCCATAGAAGTATGAAAGCAGGATTATAAATGTGCTGATTGATCAAGGAATTTTTAAAGCCCATTTATGAGGTTCTTATATGAGAACAGACAATATGGGAGAGTAGATAAAGCATGGACTGAAAGTTGAAACAATTGGACTCTCTTCCTGCTTCTGCCATTAGGAAGCTGTGTGACCTCCAGCCCATTCCAGAATCCGGGCCTGTCTCAAATGAAAGATTTGAATGAGGTGTGTGTAAGGTTCCTTACAGATCTAATATTGTATGATTCTGCATTATCTTAGTGACCCTACATTTGTGAAGTATGTGCTTTGCTTTGACTGATATATATATTTTTTTCTTTCCGAGTTTCCTTAATACCCCCTTGAAATGCCTTTGCAGATCACCAGCCAGGGTGAGAGATGCCATCTATAGCTAGAAAGTAGCTACAAAGTAGCAAAAGCCACCTGGGTCTGTAAGAGAACAAGTCCATGACCTTGGCATTGTGGTGCCCTCGTCCCCAGACACAGAGCTGTGGAACCAGGAGTGTTTGGTTGCAAGCTCTGGGGGCATCGTTACTCTTAACCATCAATGGACAGTTATCTGCATTTTTCTATTTTACAAAAAATAAAATAGAAGTCTGAGCAGATAAATAGCTGTTTATAAACGATAGATAAATACATTGCTTATAACTATAGATAAATAACTGAGTTGCCACTCGTCTGAATGTTTCTTTGCCAGGGAAGCCGTGGGAGTTAAGGAAAAGCTTTCTCTCTGAGCCTCAGAGATACTTTGGATTTCTCAAAGGGCAGATAAAGAAATGAGATTAACCTATTTTGTGACCTACTTCTGCCTTTCCAATTTGGGGACCTTCATTTGTTACCACAGGAAATCTTAAAAAAAAAACCATCTTTGGGGATCAGTGCTTCTTTGGGAGATGGTTAGATGATATATTATGGAGCTAGCTTATTCCCTCTAGAACCATGACAATAAGGTGACTGAAATTCTTGTTATAGGATTGAATGTAGAAATTTAAGTTGTTGGGTGTAGTAAATATAAATTAAGATAATATTGCAGCCCTGGTGGCCAACTTTAATTTTGTTATTATTTTGAGAAGTAGTCTGTAAACACGTTAATTTTCACCTTGTTCTTTTCTTCTAGTTATGGACTCCTGCCGTGTAAGTCCTTCTGCGAGGCTGCAAAAGAGGGCTGTGAATCAGTCTTGGGGATGGTGAATGCCTCCTGGCCCAATTTCCTCAAATGCTCCCAGTTTAGAAACCAAACTGAAAGCAGCAACATCAGCAGGATTTGTTTCTCACCAGAGAAGAAAAAAGGAAAGCAATGTAGGTGTCTGTATTTCTTTGCATTTTTAAAAGTTTTAATTGAAGTATACCATCCATACAAGGGTTTATATAAATTATGTCCACAGTGCCACAAGATGACCAGACCCCTGTAATCAGCATCCAGATCAAGAAACAAGATATTAACAGCATCCCAGAAACACGGTCAAGCCCCCCCACCCAAGTCATCTCACCCTCCCAAAAGAGCCTTTCTCCTGACTTGTAGCACCTTAGGTAGTTTTGCCTACTTTTGAACTTGATATAAATGGAATTTTACAGCATGCACTCCTTTTCTAGCTAGCTTATTTTGCTCAACATTATTTTTGAGAAGTTCATTATGTTTTCATCTTCCTGTGTTTCGCTCATTCTCACTTTTGTACAATAGTGTACCACCATGTATTTTTCCGTGTTATTGTTGATGGACAATTGAGTTGTTTCCAGCTATTATGAATAGTGAATAGTGATGCTATGACTATTCTTTCACGTCTTTGAACATGGTTGTAGATTTGTTCAGCAAAATAATGTTTTAAAGTGGTTGTGCCAATTTATACTCCCACCAGCTCTCGGTGAAAGTGGCAGTTGCTCCAAACCCTCCCCAACGCTTGGTATTGTCCATCTTTTTCATTTTGTCAGTTCTGATGATAGTATTGGAGTATCTCTTTGTGGTTTTAAGTTTCATTTTTTTAATGAATTTGATTGAATTTTTTAAATGCTTTTATTTGAATATCTCTTTTTTGTAAAGTGTTTGTCCAGGATTTTGCCCATTTTTTTTCACTAGGTAGTCTGTCTTTTGGTCTCAATTTATAGTTCTTTATGCATTCTGGATATAAGACATCTGTTGGATATGTGTATTGTGAAGATCTCCAACTCTGTGGCTTGCCTTTCGTCCCTCTTATTAATGTCTATTATGAAATAGAATGTCTTAATTTTAATGGATCTTTTCTGGTCCTCAGATTTCTGGACTCATGCTATAGCATATAAGAGCCTCTTTCTAAGCTATTAGGGAGGCCCTTTGGCTTTCACACAAGAGTTACAGCTTCCTGTAGCTTTGAGCTATCTTTTTTAGGACATTGATGCTTAGCAGTAAGCCATTCAGCCCATTGTCTTTATAGTTAGTTTTCCTCTGTACTTCTCAAACACTTGATAAGTTACTCCATTCAGTGCACTCTTTTCCGTAGGCATACATACTATACCAATTTACCTCTGATGAGGGTTTTACCAATTGGACCACCCCCTTATGCTAGGCAATATCTATCTCCACCTCCCATCAATGATGTCACTGTCACTGCTACCGCAGCGGTGGGTGGTCCAGATCCGTAACCCATCACATCACCCACTTTCTTGGACCACTCTTATGAACGTCACAAGTTGGGTTTTCCAGAAGCAGTCACTGAGATGGAGTTTGTTGTCAAGGGTATTTATTAGGCATCAGCACTTATGTAAAAGAGCGGAGACAAAGCAGGATTGGGCAGAGGGAGACAGTAAAATGAGATCCAGGCCCATTAGAGCCTTGGCTGAATCCATGGGGAACTCTGGAGCATATATGGCCTGAGGGAGTTGTTCCACTTGGGGAAAAGGTAACCTGGTCTTACAGTGTCATGCCGCATAATGACGTTTTGGTAAACAACAGACTTCATAGACAATGATTGCCCCATAAGATGGAGCTGGAAAATTCCTATCGCGTAGTAAAGCGGTAGCCATCATAGCACCCTAATGCAACGCATTACTCACATGTTAGTGGTGATGCAGGTGTAAACAAACCTGCTTCATAGCCAGTCATATAGAAGTGCAGCACATACAGTTATGTACAGTATATGATACTTGATAATGATAATAAATGACTATGTTACTGGTTTATGTATTTACTATACTATACTTTTAATCATTATTTTGGAATGTACTCTTTCTATTTATAAAAAAAAAAGTTTGCTGTAAAACAGTATGTTGTTTTATGCTGACAGCAGCCTCATACATCTTGTGTTTACCTCGTCTCTTGACTGCATCCTTTTCTCTTGCTCTTGATTTAACCTCGTGTTGTTTTGTACAGTAACATGCTATGCAGGCTGGTAGCTTAGGAGCAATAGGCTGCACCGTACAGCCTAGGCGTGCACTGGGCTGCACCATCTAGGTGTGTGGAAGCGCACTCTATGATGTTTGCATAAGGAGGAAATTGCCTAAGGATGCATTTCTCAGAACGAATCCCTGTTCATTAAGCTAGGCAGGACTGTATATCCCTGCCCTCAATCAGTCACTGGATGTGGTCCCTCCTGGAAAGGGTGTGCCTGGGGGGAGGCAGCTTTGCCCCTGGGGCAAAATCTGAAGGCGCTAAAAGCTGTTGGCTGACAGTGAGGACAACAAATTCTCTTCTGAAAGGGTTGGCACATTAAGTGCAAACAGATCACCTTGATTCAATCAGATACTGAGCTGATTTTGCTGTGTTTATAAGGCAGTGTTAATAAGGCTCCATGTACCTCTGGTCTGTTTCCATGTGGAGGGTACACTTCTCCAGTGAGCCCAACTGAGTAACTGAGGCATTTACTGCATTCTGCTCCAACTTGGGCAGTCCCAAATTCTAATGTTTTTCTTCTCTGAACCACAAAGTTGCTGGACTTTTCACTTTAATTTGCAGATGTTTCCTTTTTTTAAAAAAAAAAATATTTTTATTAAAATACAGCTAACCTACAATATTATATTAATTTCATGAGTACACCATAGTTATTCAACATTTATATAGCTAAAGAAGTGATCACCATAAGCCCAGCAACCATCTGACACCGCACCATGCAATCACAGTATTATTGACTATATTCCCTATGCTGTACATTACATCCCCATGGCTTATTTGTGTTATACCTGGAGATCTGAACCTCTTGTTACCCTTCACCTTTTTCCCCTTTTAAAATTTTTCAATTACAGTTGAGATTCAATTATTATTTTGTATTAATTATAGGTGTACAGCATAGTGGTTAGACATTTGTATAATTTAAGAAGTGATCCCCTTGACTAGTCTAGTATCACCTGGCACTATACAGAGGTTTTCTGCTTAGCTCTTTTTTTTTTTTTTTGGTGTGATTTTTATTTTTATTTTTTATTTTTTTTTATTGTTAGTTTCAGGTGTACGGAATCTGCTTAGCTCTTTAGCTTCTTGCTCTTTGTGGCAAATGCCTTGAAAAGATATTGTTCCAAGTGACAGGTTGGCTTATCTGTCTCCTTTCTCACTGCGTACTTGACCCTTAATACCTGGCTCCTTTGGCTAATTTTTGTCTCTACACCCTGTGAGATTGCCAAAAACTCTACTGGCTTCTCTGCCTCTTTGCGGTGGCCCCATGTCCAGATCCTGAGCTTCTAGCACCATCCCAAGAATTGGCAAGAATTGGCAAACACTTCCACAGGATGTAGACTGCTTGTCCTGCAGTTACCTTCCCTCTGGGATCTTAGCCACTCACCTCCTAAATAGTCTCATCAGCTGTTAGATGCCTTTAAACAGGTGTTTCTTGTGTTTTATCTGGCTTTTCTAGTTTTATATGATGATGGCATTGACCTGCTGCAAGTTACTGCATCATAGCCAAAGCTAGGAGTTTGTTTTATTTCTTTTTAACACAGTGTTTAGTAGAGGTCTGCTGCTATATTAGGATTCCCTCCAAAAGATGGTATAGAGCAAGAAGGCATCAGAAGGATGAGCGCGTGCACCTGAAAGGGAAGCCCCTCGAGCCTTTGCTCTTTTAGCTACATTTGCGCCTCTTTTGATAAGGATGCTTTATTAGCAATCATTTGGAAAATGTAGCCTTTTGATAAAGGACTTTAGAATCCACAGAGAAAAATTGAAAATCAGAATGTCATCAGTATTTTTTAACACCAATGGTCAAAAAGTATTAGTTCTTAAAAATCAAAACAACACCAGTAATCTTTAACAGCTCAAGCTGAAATGCCACTTAATATAGGTTCTCCAAATATCAGAAGAGAGTACAACTCTCCTGATCTTAGAAAAGATCGATGATCCATTTATGTTTAGAAACATGTTTCAAACAAATAGAAATTTCCTAGGCACACTCACCTGAAGTCCTCTACTTGTCACTGTCTTTTTAGAACTCTCTGTTGTAATATTTTTTACATGTAGAATTAATTCTCTGAAAATGGGGCTGATAATAATTCTCAGAAAATGTTTGATATAATATTTTCCTAGAACTTACTTTTTATGTCTCATGCTTGATAGATAAACAGGATGCTAGCCATCATAGATATGTTCATAATTTGTGTGCTAAGGAAAAAGCTATGGCTAGTTATGACCTATGTGTATGTACAAGAATTAATTTCCAGCATACACACACATAATTGCTAAAAATGTGTTCACATACAATGACTACATTGCATGACATAGACAAGTATTTATTATATAATATAGTCTTAATTATATAGGGATTCATGCTATAGGGCCACTTACAAATACAAGTAATGAAGTCCTTTTCTCCTTTTTTTCATTTATTCAGTAAATATAATACCTACTCTGTTCAGAGCATCACCCCAGGTAATCTGACAAAATAAAAGTAATTACAGTGTTCATAATATTAGTTTATACCTGTCTAGTGTGGTGGTTCTCAACCAGGGATTATTTTGCAACCCCTACCTGAGAACATTTGACAATGTCTGTAGACATTTTGGTTGTCACAACTCTGGGGACAGAAGTAGTTGCAATGGGCGTCTAGTGAGTAGAGACCCACTATGCTGCTAAACAACCTACAATGCACAGGACAGCCTCCACAGCAAAAAACTATGTGGCCCAGAATGTCAGTTGTGCTGTTTTTCAGAAAACCTGGTCTAGCACTTTATGGTTGGCAAAGTACTTAATAATAATAATAATAATAATAATAATAATAATAAATAATAAACAACTGTAATTCCTACCTTTAAGGAGTGTTAAACCTAATGTGTTATGCCAATTTATGAGAAACAATGTAAAAAATAACACTGGTAACTACATCTAAAGATGCTGACACACAGGAACT